GTGTCCCTTGGGCAAGAATGGCAGCCAAGACCTTCCCCGGCTCACACATCCACCCTCATCCTTCCTCCTCAGCAACACCTCGCCTTCATCTGGCAGCTGGAGATGGGAGCAGGAGAAAGAGGAGGATTGTCACATCACAGCTGCCTATATTGGGACCCTGGCAGGGGTTGGGAGCACTTCTCTCTCTGCCTTTCACGGGAGTATTACATAAAAAGATCACCGTTTAACCCTCTCTGTGATTTCAAGGACACCATGCTGTATAGGAAAAGGGAGCTGAAGGCGAAAGACAGCCCAAGTCCAGGCCAGGGATAGAGGCAATGAGGGTGAAGCTGAGGATGGAGAAGAGACACACAAAAGAATATGTTGGCACCAAGTAAACAACTTAACACAAGGCCTAGAGTCAGATGCCAGCCACCCTGGTATTATCCCCACAGGGGTCTCTTAAGACTTAGCTGGGTGCTAGTTGCTCACCCCTGTCATTCTAGCTACTCAGGAGGCTGAGATCTGAGGATTGATGTTCAAAGCCAGATCAGGTATAAAAGTCCATGAGACTCTGATCTCTAAGTAACCAACAAAAAGCTGGAAGTGGAGCTGTGGCTCAAGTAGTAGAGTACCAACCTTGCGCGAAAAGGCAATTCTCAATACTAGCAGAGAAGAAAAACAAAAGCAAAAATAAAAAGCTGGGCACTGGTGGCTCATGACTGTAATCCTAGCTACTCAGGAGGTTGAGATCTGAGGATCATGGTTCAAAGCCAGCCTGGGCAGGAAAGGCCCTGAGACTCTTCTTGCCAATAAACCACTCACAAAGCTGGAAGTGGCACTGTGGCTCAAGTGGTAGAGTATTAGCCTTGAGCTGAAGAGCTGAGGGACAGCACCCAGGCCCAGAGTTCAAGCCCCATGACTGACAAAAAAAAAACAAACACCAAAAAAAAGAGACGTATCCTCCATGCTATGAGAAGCCTTTGATGTGCATTTTCTCCTGGTTGTACCTGAATAAAAATTACAAAGGACAGCAGAAAGGCATCTAGTAGGGCTGGGAATGTGGCTTAGTGGGTGGAGTGCTTGCCTACCATGCATGAAACCCTGGGTTTGATTGCTTAGTACCACATAAACAGAAAAGGCTGGAAGTGGCACTGTGGCTCAAGTGGTAGAGTGCTAAGCCTTGAGCAAAAGAAGCTCAAGGTCAGTGCCCAGGCTCTGAATTCAAGTCCCAAAACTGACAAAAAAAACCACAAACAAACAAAAAGCAAACAAACAAAGGCATCCAGCACCCTGAGAAGTGGTCTGAGACATAAACCTATGTGTACTCATATCCAGCAATAGAGTTTTCTTTATCATTCATTAGTGTAAGGCAGCAGTTCACAGTCCTCTGCTCTGTGGACAACCTTTCCTGTGCATTAGGTCTGGGTTTCCATGAGTCTCTGACAAGTAGAGTACCAGGCCAGGGGCCTTTGTTCCAGTTATACTCAAAGCCTGCAGCCTCCAACAAGAAGAAATCTTGTCATTATCCTGAGCTGCTAAAGCTAACTAGCTGGTCAACAGCTACCAAGCTCTGATTACCGGCTTTATATACTCTTTTTTTTTTTTAAATGTCAGTCATAGGGCTTGAACTCAGGGCCTGGGGCCCTGTCCCTGAATTCTTTTGCTCAAGGCTAGTGTTCTACCACTTAAGCCACAGCACCACTTCTGGTTTTTGAGTGGGTTAATTGGAGATAAGAGTCTCACCGGGACTTTTCTACCCAGGCTAGCTTTGAACTGAGGTCCTCAAATCTCAGCCTTCTGAGTAGCAAGGATTACAGGTGTGAGCCAACGCCCAGCTTTATATACTCTTACTGACTTCTTTATTAGTCTTTTTGTTCTTCTATTGAAAAAAGAATATATCAGGAATGAGGAAATAATCCATCATCTTAACTTCAGTACTTTTCTGTTGCCCACCCAAGTTTCTCATGTGTTAAAAGCTCAAGTCCTAGAAAAAGGTACATGACGACACCATGTTATAGCCAATGCTTGCTTAAAGAAAAGAAAAAGAGAAAAGATGCACACCTAGACTATATTGTTTAAAATGTGACTCAGCAACAACATAAAGATCTTCTTAAGAATCTCATGACAACACACTTCATTCATTCTCTCCTCTTTTTTTCTATATAGTTCTTTTTCTCCACAGCTTCTCTTCAGAACTAACTCACATCCTGGCACACAATTGCAACATGCACACAAAACAGCAAACACAAGACAATTAGGATAAAAAGACAATGTTGCATAGCAAGAAAGAAACCAGGAAGAAGTAGAAACTGAAAGATACTTCAAAATATGAAAGATCAAGAATTCCTAATTAAGCCCAGGTTGGAAGATCATTCTTACTGTATTTCCCTAAAGATTAACTGAGTACACATTGATCTTTCCTAATGAATGAGATTATTTCTGTCCCATGGCTAATTTACAATGGAAAAGAAAAATAATACCAATTCAAAAACAAACAAACAAAAACCCACACTAGCAATGTAAATACTTATTGTGAATGGTATTTTAGCATCAGTCTCCCATATCTTGCCTGACCAAACCTGATTTCTGTCTGTTTCCCTTTTTGTTAGTTGAAAAGATTGATTTTTATGGCCTGACCATGAGAAGGCTCCTGCTATCCTGACTAGGAGAGGGACAGGTAAGGTGGATCGTGATGTCCTCTTTCCTCTCAAATGAGTAAAGACAGCGAGGCATATGCTGAGGCCTCGGAGCCTCATAGCCTGACAGAAGTGACCTCTTGGCCCTGGGTTCATCTGGCTATCAACCTGCAGTTGCACATGAAGTATACCAGTGTTATTAAAATTGCTCCTTCTCACTTCCAAGTTGGCTCTTGACCCTTATATTCTTTGGTTTCTTCATTCCAAAGCTGCCTGCTCTCAACAATCCATGCAACTCACCCCCTGTTTCTGCCCAATTCCCAAGGCAATCCATTGGGAATTCTTACCTTCAAGACATTAAGCCCTGGGTTTATTTTGGCTAAATATGCACTGGGCTTAGATGAGATTTTATTTATGTATTTTATACAAGTGGACATGACTGGACCGTGCAGCCCTGTGGAAACATACGGCTTTAAGGAAAGCATATGTGCCTGGTTTGTTTATTCTCTTACAGAAGCAAAGCCCTCAGCCACTGCACTTGTCAGTCACGACCAGACCCTGTGCTTGAACAGAACATTATCTGCGGAAGTTGCTGATGTGCTCAAATCAGTCTTTCTGGGAGCTTCATCTCAACACCCAGAGAGGCAGAGGAAACAACATAAGTTGGTCTACTTCCCTGGCAACAGAATTACCTTGGGTCCTGAAGGTTAGGGCTTGAACTCAACTGTAATCCAAGCTGTTCAGTTTGGACGTCAGCCTTCCTTTGAACATTTTGGATGCATGTTCACGTAGCTCACTCACACCCAAGGTGCACAAATACTCTTAGTGTGTTAAAATGTGAATAGGGCATGGTATGAAGTTGAGAGAGGTGAGGAAGGGTAAGAAAGAAGAATGTATATGTGTATATTTGTATGTATATATATCCGTATATATATACACACAAATATACATATATATACACAGACACACACACACACACATACATACACACTATTTAGGCCTGTCATTTTCCTCTTTCTGACACATTCCCCTTTCATCCATTGTCTAAAGGTGACCTGGAATCTGGGAGCACATGTAGAGGCAAGCCAAGAAACCATTTCTTTCCAGCCAAGAGCTAGGCAGGTTAATATGAGTAAAGATAGGAGTCTAGACATGGGATATAAAATGGCAGTCCTTGTCTCTGAAATGCTATGTGATATGTGGTTAGGACCAGTCGGTACAAACGGTATAGTAGCCCTCAAGTTTTTGGCACCAGGCAGTCCAGAAAATTCCCCATTATTGGGGAAGGCTCGGGGTCTCCAGCATACTTTCACACTCAGGCCAGTTGTGGGGAAGTACTTAGAATGGCTCCTAAGAGTTTAGCATTAGGAGACCATGGAAACTTAGCAGCACTAACTGGTTGCAAAGAGGACAAAAATGTAAAAGTCCCTTCCTGCATTAGAAGAGCACAAATGCGGGCAGGTGCTGGTGGCTCATGTCTGCAATCCTTGCTCCTCAGGAGGCTGAGATCAGAAGATCATGATTCTAAGATAGACCAGGCAGGAAATGATCTCCAATTAACCAGCAAGAAGCTAGAAGTGGAAGTGGGCTCAAGTGGTAGAGTGCCAGCTTTGAGAGAAACAGCTAAGGGGGTACATCCAGACTCTTGAAAAGCAAAGCACGAGTATAACCATCACCCAAGATTGGAGGCCTTTTTTCCCCCTTTTGGATGAGGTATGCTTCCTAAGTTCTTCTTTCTTTGCACTACTATTTACTTGCTTAGGGGAAAAATTGTCCTTTTCTGGTTCTCCATCCTGAATTTAAAGTGTTCTAACTTCAGTCACCAAATGTGCCTTCATCCTTCTACCAGGTGCCAGTTTCTGAATTCGGCAACTTCCTCCTTACAATTATCCTTCCTGTTTCTTTCCTTAACATTCATTCCTCACAAGGCTGCCTATCACTACATCTCTCTGAGAGTTAATTGAGACCACTGCCTGAGACCCTGGAAAGAAACCATCTTCAGGCTAAAATAAATCATTGCCACCTCATTTCACTTTTAATTTACTGTGGATTTTTTTTTTTTTTTTGGTTGAGTCTTCTCACAGCCTCTCCTGTCTCGCTGCTCCTGCATTTTCAGCCCCATTGCTCCCCATTGGACAATGCAAGGCTGAAAGGTTTATCTGTAACCTATTTGTCTCTATTATAGGTTCCTAAACTTTAATTAAACAACAGACAGTGAGGATCTCCACATCAGGGGTGTTGTTGGCGCCACCTAGTGGTGGAAAGGTATGGCATCTAGAAGCTTTGTCACCATTGGGTATTCTCTGCCCACCTGATTCCCATCCTTTGGGAGAAGGAAAAGCATGCAAAATTCAATTTTGTTTTTACCTTTATAATCCTCACCTGCAAAAGCTGAGATGGGTTCTGGAAAAAAAAATAGAAAAACAGAATTAGATAAAGGGAAGAAATTACTTCCATTAGATTACTTGATAACACACAATGGAAAGTGTTCTGTATCTCTGTGTGATCTAGATTGTATGTAAATATATTTTCATTTCAGGCCTGGGTTGGTGGAAAGGATTCTAACTATTGCTTTGGAATAAAAAGACCTTCATAGAGTAATGGATCCCCAAAGCACTGTAATCAGTCACTTACCACTGATTACTTTCTCAGAGCCAGGATTACTATTAGATGCCCAGATTCTGAGAGTTGCCTGAGAGACTGGGGCTGTCCCAATTGCTTCTGACATCATTAGGCACACACACACACACACACACACACACACACACACACACACCAGGGACCAAGAGCCAAGATAAGCACTCAGTGACTGATGGTAGCTACGGGGTTGACTGGAAGCAGATCCTGTTCATTCTCAGGATTTCCCTCTATTTCTAGGGAAATCTATGGCTCTGATGGAAGGGGGCCAAAGTATCCCTGGGGAGCTGTCGTTGTAGAATAAAGCCCTGGGTGAAATGGGTGCATCTCAGGACAGTTATGGTGTCCTTCTGATATTGGTCATGGAGGTACATAGAATGTTTCAACCTACAACTTCAGGATCTTGGCCATTTGAGCTTTAAAGCAAAATGTAACATCTTATTTTATGCCATAATTTGCCTTGCCATTCATTCATGTAAAATGATTGCCTGGGTAATTGGTTTATCATATAGAGCGTGTGTACTATTTTCACTTAGTACCCAGGCTTCTGTTAAGTCCATCAAACCCAGCATATAATTCTTACTGGCAGGTGCTCTTGTCTTCTGCCATTGTCTTTGTGAGCGCACGCGCGCGCGCGCGCACACACACACACACACACACACACACACACACACACACACACACACACACACACCCCTAGAGTTTGATGATGGGGTCTTGGCATTCTGAATCTTCATAGACTTAATGTATGTCTATTTCTGATTGGGAACATATAAGCCTTCACCTCCTCTCTCAACCCTCTCTTCCTGATCTTAGCTCAAGGTCTACCCACACTGGGGATACTGTGTTTGAAGACAGCCTGTGGCTTTCTCTTTTGTGCCCCAGTCCTAGTGTCTTATTTGAAAGAGCCACAAAGAAGCAGGTAGTCACTCACCCATGCAGTGCTCCAGCGGGACATCAGTGCTTATCCGAATGTCATCAATGGCAATCTCACCCGAACGTCCTTTTCCTATCACTCCCTCAAACACAATCTAGAAGCCGGAAGAATAAGAGTCATGGTTAACTGAGCTTCCTGGTCCAAACAGCACAAACATTTTCAATTTTCTGGTGTGTGTGTGTGTGTGTGTGTGTGTGTGTGTGATTGTACCTGCCACACATCTGTGGACCACATGGCTACAGCTCTTGAGATCTTAATTTAAAAAGAGTTAGTTCAAATCAAATGCATATTTGAGGGAATAAGAAAATATAACAAGGTGATGGATATTGTTGTCCAGTTACTAAGCTGTATTGATTAAAAAGACCACAATCAGGGTGTGTTTAAAGAGGGGAGGGAGATTGACATTTCCCTAGCTATTTGTGAGGTTCCATTCTCATAAATCTTTCAAATGCCCAAATCAGGTATTTTGAAAACTCAGAGGTCATGAGCAGGTGAGGGTAATATGAGAAATTCAGAACATAGGATTGGACGGTCTTGTGCAGCCCAGAGACTCCATTATTACAAGTAGGAGAGAAATGACTAGGTCTTCCACCTCAGTCTACTGAACAAACACCTAGTAAGCATTAGGCACAAGAATCGTTAAGAAAACCTAGTAAGACTGCTGCTCAGAGAAACCATCTAGTGTGTGAGACAACATCACAAAAACAGGTTCTTACAAGACATGCATCAAGGTTAATCAATGGAAACCCAGGTGGAGGAAGGGAGGATTTCAGGACACTGCATCTTCCTCACAAGAAAGCAGCTGCAGGCTGCCCACACAAGCCCCTCTGCTCTGTGGTCTTCAATCACTCCTCATGCTCTCCCTCCCCAGGTTCTCGCTGCAAATGAGCCCTTGTCCTCCGCAAGCTGAGCGAGCAGTTGGCTGTCTCACTAGCCATCTGTTGCTCCTCATCTGGGGAGGAGCAGGTTAATGCCTTGGCTGCCTCTCAGTCACCTCGTCCAGTTTGACTATTCCAACCTAAGATACAGCTCCAGCTGCACGTGACCATCTGGGCCTCAGTCTCCTGCTCCATGGGACAGAGATAATAGAACTCAATTCCTGGAGCTGTTGAGAGAGAAGCCACTTAACACTCTCAGGCTGCTGGCTAGTGTAACTGCATCTGTACCCTTTCCGGGGTTCTTATTTCCCTGGGACAGGTCTGAGAGGGTGTACCCATTTCTTCCTCCATTCTGAGGGGAATCCATAGATCCCCTGTCCCCAGTGTGTGGAGGGTTTGTTTGTATTTATTTCTCTGGCTTCTCTGTCTCTTTGTCAGCCTAACTGATAGCAATCTAAAATAAAATGGAGAGAAGAAACATTTGTTGGAGAAGATTTCAGCAATATAAAAGGCAATAGGAGGAACAAAGAACCAAGTCTGGGTGTAGAGATAGGCACATTCTGAATAACAAATAAGAGTGTCATTTAGTTGCCATGGTGACAGGAGGAACACAATGAAAACAGCAGAGCTTAACCACATCCCCTAATGATGAATGGGCATAGCCCTTTGAAATACTGCAATACAGGATCACAGTGAGTCCCCTGGATCTCCCCACCCACTCGCCTTCACCACCCCACCTGATACTCCAAGTCGTAGCTGGGCAGGATGATGCGCCCATGCTTCCACTCGCCGTCCTGGTCCTCTCGGATAACCCAGAGGAGCTTGCTCTCCTGGCTGGCTTCCCGCACCACCTGCAGCGCCACCCCATGGCCACCTGTGGCTTGGTACTGGAACTCCATGCACACGGGGCTCCGCGGCAGGTGCACAGGTGGGCTGATGAGCCTCCCATACTGGCCCTCTCGTCGGCCATCACTCTGCAGTCTCAAGAAGTTCTTCTCATCTAGGGGAGACAAACCCAAACACAAGCTTTTGGTAAATGCTTGGGAAAGACACCAGCGTGCAGTTGGGGCCCCTCCAAATTGGGAAATTGGAAAATTGGGAATGGAATTGGGGTTTATTATCTTTTTAAATTTATTCATGTCAGTGTTCTCCAGGCCATGTGTCTTTCTGAAGATAGATCCCTTCAGATCCCTGAGTCAAGTGTATGTTCTTCTGAAGCCCTTTGTGCAGTCTCTTAAATCACACTAGTTCATCCTTCTATAACTCCACATCATTTGTTTTGTAGCTCTTACATATAAAGCACCTGGGAAGGTCAGCCTTAAGACTTCGCTGGTTGTACATGGGTTTGCCCTGTCTCCTCAGCCTCTAAGAAACCAGACCCCTGTCTATTCATCATTGGCTTCTCACAATGGGCTAATACAGTCTAATGAATGAATTACCAGGGAATGGTTTACAGGGAGTGCAGTGGCTGTTGGATTGGCGAGTAAGTGTAGCCAGGTGGTGTATGCTTTGAGCTTCTCTTGTCTTGGTTGGGCAATGTCCAAATGCAAGACATTTAAAACCTTCTGTCTCTGCCAGAGCTGTTGGATGATGCCTGGGCTCCGGTGACTGCGACTCAGGCAGAACAGGAGATTGTGGCCAAACAGGGTGATTCAGGGATCTAATATTCCATTCCCTTCCTTATGCCTGCACTTGGACTTTCTTAAGCAATCAGGCACACACCCCTCCAGTGATAAAGATCCAGTCATGATTGTTAACAAAGGCTATGTTTAGCAGAAAATCTACAAGTTCTCTGAAACTAAGGGTTCATCAGTCCAAATGCCTCAAGAAGAGGCCTTTTAGCAAAGTGCTTTCAAATCTTTTAGGAACTTGGGTGGAAGATTGAGTTCTGGATATAGTTGGCAGGCTCTATGCCTTGCAGACACAGAGGTGGATAGAACATCTCCAACTGCAGCTAGTTGAGCAGCACTTGAGATATGTGTGCAGACAGCAAGGTGCATCTGAGGAGGAATGTCATGGCTTGCTGTGGGCCTTCAAACATAGGGGTATGTTGTGCAAGAAGGCATGGTTCCACTACATACCCAGCATGGAATGTGAGCTTGATCGTGTTAATATGATGCCATGATGGTTTGAGCTATCTATGCACAGAACTTTCTCAACAGTGTCTGTGCACATCCTGAGCTTTTTGGGGGAGCAGAGGCTAGGGCTCTTGATGGAGAGATAGAATCAACACCCATTTTCTGGGATTACTGGTTTTCTGTGGTTAATCCTGTCAATGTCATCTTTCTAAGCTTGTGATAAATCGCCCATTTGTGGCCCAGCAAAACAACTCCTCCTTCCTCAATCCCTCAGCCTCTTTGCCCACCTCTCTAGCTCACCTCAGCCCCTTTGTATACTAGGATTATTGCTCGAAACTACCTTCTCTTGGATCAAATTAGATGGGCTTAGGATACATATGGTTAATTTCAGATTGTGATTTCTGCACCACCTACGGTCACATCTGCGTACACACAACATCTGAACTCTTTAGGCCTAAGTCAACTCAGACAATGAAAAAGCAGTTGTCTGTCTCCAAAGAGAATTTGTAATGATGGGTGTTGCTGAGGGTGGAGAGACAGATACCATAATCAGGCAATGATCTTCTAAACCTATGCTTCCTCCATCAGATACTATCACTAACCACTACTAATGATAATAATTACAGCTCAGATTTGCATAATACTTTACAGGTTACAAAGCACACTGGCGTGCACTATTTCATTTCCTTCTAAGACTTACTAAGGTTGCTCAGAAAAGTTAAAGTGACATGGTCAAAGTAGTCCCTTACCTACTTTGCTTTAATGGTAAAGCCCATTAAAAAAAACAAAACCAAAAACCATTTTTTTCAGTTTTATTTCAGCTGCCTATAGGTGCCTCACTCCAAAACCTTGCAATCAATCACACTCTGTTTGAGGCAAACTAGATTCCCCATTGGACCTGTTGCTGCCTTTTCTCCTGTTACCCGTAATTCCTCACTCCCTCGTTCATATCTCCACCTCTTCCATCTTTACTGCCAGTTCTTCTCCTAGCCATTCTGGCATATACAACATCAATCCCATCTTCTCTCATCAACTCTAGCATCAACTGTACCCTTTTAATTTTTTTTTTTTTTGGGTCCGGTCATGGGGCCTGAACTCTGGGCCTGGGCGCTGTCCCTCAGCTCTTCAGCTCAAGGCTAGCGCTCTACCACTTGAGCCACAGCGCCATTTCCGGCTTTTTTCTGTTTGCTTATGTGGTGCTGAGGAATCGAACCCAGGGCCTCATGCATGCAATGCAAGCACTCTACCATTGAGCCACCTTCCCAGCCCTACCCTTTTAATTTTTACCTTTTTTTTAAACAAAGGACTTGGGGGTACCATGTTCTGTGGCTTACAGCATGGTCTGGCCCTGCAATGTATTTCATGTATATTTTCTTTGTTACTTCAAAGTGCAAGGTACTGGTCTTATGTCTATAAGGCTTAACATTGCTTTGTCCTCCTTTTCCCAGACAATGCCATGTACATGGCACTACTCAATGTGATTTTCTTCCCATGAATGAATGAATGAATGAATGAATGAATGAATGAATGATGGATAAAGAGTGGGATGAGACTCTACATTAGAAATGAAGACAGAGGGAGAATCAGCTAGCCTTTGCAAACTTCTCAACATTCAAATAATCCCTATCCAATCCCCTCCATTCTCTGAAGCCAACTGCCCCTTTCAAAGGTGACATCAGCTGATGGTAACAAGGTGACCTATGAAGTACCCAGCTGACCAGCATACCAGACAGAAACTACCAAATGTTCCTATACTCTGGGTAAGTTCTAAGCCCTTGCCGTTTCCATCTCATCTATAAAAGAAACCAGATTTCAGAGACTTATTATTCAGCCTTCTTCCTTCACAGTTTCACAAATAAGACCCACTTGCTGCTTGAAAATTGCTTGGCAGAAATACTGTCACTTGTGTAAATTTGCATTCATAAACGGCAGGGGAATCACAGTATAATAGTTAGAAGTGGCTAAGTAACATATGCTGGAGGGGGGAGCAGGTTAACTGGATTTTATCTGGGGGAACTCTATTCACCCGTTCTGTCACTAACATATCAGGCACACAACTAGGCCAAGGGTTCTGGGGTAGGGTGGAGGGTGTTTAGTGGCCCTCTCCCTCTCCTTTCATTTCTTCTCTTCTCCCCGCACCGCACCACCACAGTAGGACAATAATCACTATGCATGATTTAAAGGGTTGTGGCAAGACCAGGGAGTTAATGCTAGTGGCGTGCTCAGCGCCAGCAGCTGAAGGATCATAATTCAGTGCTGACATCTGAGCTAATCCACTAGTTTGCAGAATCTCCAGACAAGCAGGCCTCTGGATTTCACTTAGTTAAATCATTTGTGCCCCACTTGTCTGTTAAGTGCTATGAGCTCCAGGGAAGAAAGATGATATGTAAATTTAAGGAATTAGCAGTCGACATCCGTCACAGGGACACTGAGCTGCAAAATGTCCCTGCCTGTCACTGAAAGAGGTCTGATTAGAACCAGGGACATCATGAAAGAATGACTTAGGCCAGAAAAAGTGCAAGGAAAGGGGGGCGGACCAGGAGGAAGAGAACGAACAGACTGCTCATCTACATGACCAGTGTGGAGCTGGAGGCTCCATTTACCCTATCTTTTGTAATCTTCCCATGCAATAGTTTTATTTTATTTTTTTTTAGGAAAAAAGGAAACTAGAGCTCAGAGAACTGAGGTCACCTGTTCAACACCACTGCTGGAGAGGGCTGGAAATAGGACTTGAACTTTGATGGGACTCTGGAAACTTACCTGGTATGGAATCTTAGCCTAGCCCTTACTAACTTTGTAAAGCCATTAACTTTCCATCTGTAAAATGGATATAACAACAGTATGACTGAATAGGGCATGAGGAGGAGTAGATAAAATGAACTATGTAAAGTCGTTTTGCCCAGGAATGGCGACACAGTGAAAACTCTACACACTGTTGTTGTCACTCTACACACTGCCTCCCACGCTCGCCTTTGTTTTACTGGGAGAGAAAAATATAGACAGACTAACAATAACCTTGGAACTCTCATCCAAGACTCAAAGTATGGTTTGGCCTGAGGATGGTAACACAGTGTTCTCTGGAATAAGGCAGTTCCCCACAGCTGCCCTAATGCCAGAAAACAACTTCGTGCATCCTGCACTGCTCACCATGTGTTTTGTGTCAATGTACAAAAGATGACATGGTCCTCCATCAAGAGTGGGGCTTCAAGCTGGGCACCACTGTCTCATATCTGTAATCTTAGCTACTCAAGAGGGTGAGATGTGAAGATCAAGGTTCAAAGCCAGCCCAGACAGAAAAGTCCATAAGACTCTTAAATTAATTGGCAGAAAGCCAGAAGAGGAAGTATGGCTCAAACGGCCGAGTGCAGTCTTGAGGAAAAAGCCAAGTAAAAGCCAAAGCACTGAGTTGAAGCTGAGTACTGGCAGGAGAGAAAGAAAAGAGAGAGAGAGAGAGAGAGAGAGAAAGAGAGAGAGAAAGAAAGAGAAAGTGAGAAAGAAAGTAAAAAGGAGACAGAAAGTAAAAGAAAAAAGAAAAAAAGAAAGAAAGAAAGAGAGAAAGGAAGAGAGAAAAAGACAGAGAGACAGAGAGAAAGAAAGAGAAAGAACGAAAGAGAGAGAGAAAGAGAGACAGGAGGAGAGAAAAAGACAGAGAAAGAAAGAAAAAAGAAAGAGAAAGAGAGAGAAAGAAAGAGAGAAAGTAAAAGGAAGGAAGAAAAAAGATTGAGAGAAAGAAAGGAAGAGAGAAAAAGAAAGACGAAGGAAGGAAAGAAGGAAGGAAGGAAGGAAGGAAGGAAGGAAGGAAGGAAGGAAGGAAGGAAGGAAGGAAGGAAGGAAAGAAGGAAGGAAAAGGCGGTCATCTGGGACAGGGAAACCCTGCTCTGCCCCCCCCCCCCCAAGAAGCATGCCAAAACGTCTCCAAGAA